AAGAGCGGTGGATCGGTGGTGGAGCACCATCCGTCTTCTTACTGGGAGCAACCCTTTAGCCAGCCTTACTTCGACAACACGACGAAGAGGGACACCACGACGATCAACGGCCAGACCACTTTCCTGCACTGCAGGGTGCGCAATCTTGGTGATCGTTCTGTAAGTTTCGAGTTTCCTTATTGGCCTGACTCCCGGTGATGTAATAAGGACGCGAGTTCCCCGACGAAGTCGTGTTACACGGATGAGTAGCCTGCTGATGAAACGGTCCGGTTGCCATGCTCTGTCCACCCCGCCACACTTTTCAACCCCCGACTTTTCCCTTCGTTCGATCGATCCTGGATTTCCTGGCAATTTCTGCCGCGATTCCTGGACCTGATTTTAACCCCGATACACCGCCATGGTGTATCCTTCTTTTCCTTTTATCGGAAACACCGTCCGGGCGAGGGCGAACGGATAAAGCGACGTTTAATTTTTCACGTGTCCACGGTCTAAGTGAATCTTAACGCGACCTGCTGCCGAGGAAAATTTATTTTTCCACGCAACCTGGCAACTTTGAATAATTGTTCAAAAATTAACTATTTTCGGATTTTGCGCTGTTTCTTTAATTATTATTTTGGCGACGAATAATATGAATGTAGGTGGATCTTGACGTAATCTGATAGCGACGTTTAATTTTTCACGTGTCCACGGTCTAAGTGAATCTTAACGCGACCTGCTGCCGAGGAAAATTTATTTTTCCACGCAACCTGGCAACTTTGAATAATTGTTCAAAAATTAACTATTTTCGGATTTTGCGCTGTTTCTTTAATTATTATTTTGGCGACGAATAATATGAATGTAGGTGGATCTTGACGTAATCTGATATTCAGAAATATTTATTTTCTGTAACGTGGGAATTTTGAATAATTGTTAAGATATTAACTTTTTTCGGGATTTTGTATTGCTTTTCTGTGCTTTATTTTGACGGTGAATAGTATGATCGTAGGTGGGTCTTCACGTTATCTGATATTCAGGAAAATTTATTTTCTGCAACGTGGGAATTTTGAATAATTGTTAAAATATTGACTATTTTTTGGATTTTGCATTGTTTCTTTGCGTATTATTTTGGCGTCGAATAATATGAATGTAAGTGAATTTTTACGTGATCTAATATTCAAAAGAAATTTATTTTCGGGAACGTGGAAGCTTTGGACAATTGTTCAAAAATTAACTATTTTCGGAATTTTGCTGTTTCTTTATCTATTATTTTCGCGACGAATAATATGAATATAGATGGATCTTGACGTGATCTAATATTCGAGAGAAATTTATTTTCGGGAACGTGAAAGCTTTAGGTAATTGTTGATGAATTAGTTATTTCGAGAACTTAGCGGTCTTTCTTTGTGCCCATGGTCTAAATGAATTTTAATACGATCTGATATTTAGAAAAATTTATTTTCTGAAAGGTAGAAGCTTAAAATCGAATGTAATTATTGTTGATAATTAATCTTTAATATTTTATTTCGTGAATTTATTTTAATATCTTCGCGATAGGTGATCGTGGAATCATAACGAATTAAATATCATAATGAATTAAAATTATCCATTTTAATCAATTATAATAGTAAATTAAATTGTAAATTATGATTAAAAGTAGTTTAGATAATTGATTTTGTCAATTTCAAATCTTCAAATATTTACTTATTTTGGAATTTATCATCGATGAAGATTTCTATTTAATAGAATTAAATCATACTCTTTCGATAGTGCACTGTGATTAAATTATTGGTTGAATTAGACGTTTAATTGAAGGTTTTATTACGTACAGTACACGCAGTGTGCAATCAAATGAAAGAGCTGATTGAACCTTGTATGACGTGTAATTTGTGCAATAATTCGTTTGCCAGGTTTACTATGGTAATTAAACGGGAAATAGAAGCTCGATAAAAATCGAAGAAAATTTACACGATTGTCATGGTCCCAATACGGCGAAAAAACAAAAGCATTTTTCAATTATTTTCCGTTAATTGCAATTTCCGTACTCCAATTAGTCAAAACTCGTAATTATTTAATACGTCAATTTGTACATAGAGAAACTAATTTCATCGTGATAATTAATTTATTGACAAATAAAGTTCATTATTTCGTCACTTATTATTATTCTAAAATAATAATTATAAATTTATGATACAATTTATAATACCATTAAATTTCAATTAATACCCTTTCATACCAAATCTGGTATACCTGTCAAAAATTTGGATCCTTGCTATTACTAAAGTCATTAATTCATTGATTAATTCAAAATAAATACACGGTTATATGTTTATTCCCTATTGTTATTACTCACCGCTGTTGTTTACTGTTACTATGAATATTTACTAATACTATTACTATTCCTATTACTGACTGCTATTATTTACTACTACGACTTATTAACATTATTTATTACCCCTTTGCAATCAGCAATATTTTCGTTACAGAAAATATTAATTCCAAGTCTTTCTACCATAAAGACGACGATATTTCTAAATAAAACGGTAAATAGGAAATCTTATGCAAATTAAGACGTAGAAATATTTTACTTCGATATTCCACGCATCCTTGGGTAATAGTATATTTGATTTATTAATTATCATCCCTCTTTAGAATCCGATTAAATGGCGACTGAGTGGCGCCTCTCCAATGCAAAGGATTTTTCGATTTTTTGGCTAAAGATGAGTAGAAGTCGAAAGATTTTCTGCTATAAAGCTGACGATATTTTTCCCATAAGAAAATAAAAAACTATATAATAATTAACACGTTGAACTATTTGATTTTACTTCGATATTCCACGCATCGTTGAGTAATAGTAAATTTGATATACTAATTACCATCCATCTTCAGAAACTGATTAAATGGCGACTGATTGTGAGAGGCGCCTCTCGAGTGCATAATTAGAACTAACTCTCTATGGACCGAATATATATTTTCCTTGACTATAAGAATTGTATGTAACATAAAATCAACAAATATCAACCGATAAATTCAGCAGTTTTGACAATTTTATTCTAACGAATTCATATTGCAAATTTGAATTAACAACGTTTGTACTATTGTGCCAAGAAAATGTGCAATAGATAGACAAGATAATTTTCCGCGCCATCTTGTGGCAAAATGGTCATAGGGGGCTATGGAGGACCTAACCTATCATGATCGAATAACCGGTAAATGAAAAAAAATTAGAATTTTAAAAAATGGAACCACAGAAGGTATTGTAAAAATAATTATAAATATATCGAAAGAAAAATCGCGAACCGAAGTGATCAAGACCTTAACGTTGAATGCAGTATTTAATAAAATACTCATACATTGGCATGTAACTTGAAAGTTACAGTGGCCCATAGAGGGTTAGGTCACTGCTTTCAATTTTCTCCAGCTTATATATTATTCCACTACTATATTACCGTAAGCATTATACATATACCATGGTGTTATATATTCAGATGCGCATTAGGAGTCGGCAGTTTCAGAGTGAATCTCGCATCCCGATAAATCGTTTCGTAAATTATCGAGAACAAAAGCCGCAGCGTCCTATCCGCGGACATCTTAATGGAAAGTACTTTCGCGGATAAGTGCATAGGTCAGCGTGGAGTAGTGACATTACTCGTTATCGGCGTTACTCATGCATCACCGCATGACGCACAGGAACCCGTCAGAATCCAATCACCGATCGTAATCGACGATAAATCAGATTTCCCGCCGCTTCTCGTCCCCGCCGCTAGTCGGCGCGCCGGGCGCGCTGCCTCTCTATCTACGCGAAACCAGGCGTTTATATTCGCGGGCGTAAAATCAACCTGGCAACACTCGGCGCATTGTTGTTCACCGCGACAGCTTCACGCCGTTCGTTGTTCCCAACGATACCCAGAGACCACTAAAAAACCGATGAAGAAGAAAATATTCGCCGACCATTTTATCCGCAAAGACAATTATTGGTAGGCTATACGTTGTCCCTGCAAAGTGTTATAGAGTCGTGGTAGAGAAATGACCAGCGGTAAATTGAAATTTTTAAATGAATTGCTCATAGCGATACCTTGCATTCATAATCCCGATAAAACGGATTTTTTTCAAATTTTTGTGTTAGGATATTCGATATGTGGTCCGACGAGATTTCGTAATAATTTTGCGAATTTAATATCTACGTGAAATCCGTACTTTTACTGCTGGAAAATCATGCATTGCTTGTACTTTTTGATGGGTAATCAAAGGGGATTTTAATTTTGTGAATTTTATTAATCCGTGCTGTATGCAGATTCACGTGGAAATGGAATAATATTTTCTGTGAATTATGCTCTTTTATTAATATCGTTAAATTACAAAGTAATAATATATAGTATAATAATGATTCGAGAAATTTAAATGGAAATGTTTAGTATATTTCTGAATGGGAATTTGTTATGTAAGATATTTTATCTTATCTGTGCTATCAAATCAAACTTTTCTCAGAGTCATATTTTTGAGAATTTAGGATTTAAGATAATCTAGATTTTTTAAATTCGGATTATATACTTTTATCACGATGACCTGATAATTCAAGTAGAAATCAATCCAATGACCTGGATATGAGCCTTCATTTGGTTTGGAAATTTTCACAAAAAATTCAGAATTGCTATAATAAAATATTTACGGTAGAGAGAATTGCAGGGGATAATTTATTTCGTAGGATTATTATATTTTCATTGTTCCATTTTAGCGAACTTTCGAGATGTCTAGCAATTTCCGGCTACCATAGTAACATCAGGGGGAAGAGATGATCTCAGTGAAACACGGTTTTCCAATTACCTGTAAATGAAATTTGATTCCTATTTATCTTAGAGAAGAACGCTATGAAATAACCAAATACACGATATAATATGTAATTTAATTTAATATTGTATATTATATACAAGCAAATGTGTAACATATAATATATAATATTTAATTAAATATTGTAACTCAAATTTACTTATTAATATTCCTAATATTCCTACGTAAAGTGCAATTTTTTCGTTCGTCTGTGGTAATTAAAGGATTTTCAAATCCTTTCACGTCTCCAAATCTAGATCTACCTTTTCTTGAAAGTTGGGTTAAGAAGTCGCGTCGTAGTGGGTACACTCGGGTTTCATTTAACTGAAAACAAAGGAAAAGGATTTTTCCCTGGCCTCAAACTAGAAATTTCCAACATATATTTTGCTTTTGTTACCAGACTGGGTATGTTCGTTGAAAAATATGCTTCGTTTTACCCTCTTCGCAAGGATACCCTCGGTTCTCGTGCATCACTAAAAATAGAGTACAAAACCTAATTTCGAGGTAGTAAAAGATGCAAGACCCACGTTGCAATAAGACACGAAGTATACTTCTCTCAGGACTGTGTCTTAATAATTAACTAGTTGTTCAGCTTCTAGTAACTCAACTTTAATTACAAAAATATTTGTTTGTAGAATTAATTTTCCCATTACAATTATGAATTGTTGCCATATCGATTAATCTGATATAAAAATTATACATGTACCTTTTAAGACATTTGTCCTACGAATTCAAACTAACTTCTTATTCTTGCTTTTTAGAAATTTAAGAATTTTGTTGTAATTTTTAGTAAAATTAAAGTATCGTAGATCAGTCCTAGGATGGAGAAAAAAGATTCGTTGCATTATATTTGTTCAACTAAAATTGCAAATAATTAGTAAGAAACTAAATGAAAATCGCAATTAAAAATGAATTAAAATCCAATTAATACGTTTGTTATATTCGATAATGAATGATAGACGAGCTTCAGCTGAAAAATTTCCAATTTCAGCAAGCCAAACAACCCCGAACTTAATTTCAGCGTATCCTTAAGAAACCTTAACGCGGGGTTGAAAAGGCTGAGAAGAAAAAAGAATGTTCAAATTACATTGGAGGGTGGAGCGTTCTTAAGAAACGCTGTTTACGCTTTTTCGCCATTAATTCAAGCCGGTGACAAAACCAACAAACCGGTAGAACGGTATTCCCGCATTGTTCTTGGCCAGCACGTAACAAGCAACCGCGTCTTGCTACAATTAATTTCCCGCGAGGACATTCGGGTGTATCAATTCTCCCTTCTCAACGCCGTTCAACGCGAAGAATAAACGTTTCGCCGATAAGCCATCCATTTCCCATGGCCCCGGCGTGTTCCGTGTTCTAATTATACCTGACCGAAAGTTAAATTGAACCGTGACATTTTTTCCCATTTCCCTCCTTTCCTTTTCTCTTTTCTTTCGTCGCGAAAAATCACCTCAACTCAGGGGTTCCACCTTGGATAATTGAGTCCGACGGAATCAACGACCGTGGGCGAAGGTTACCACGGATCAGTTAAATGTTTTCGCGTCGGATGCTTTGTCGAAGCCTCGCCTCTTCTATCCCCACTCCTTATCTCCACTCCGTGCCCCCACTCCTGACCGCATCGCAGTCGCTGTTTCTGTCTCAGTCCACTCGGCGACGGTCGTGCGTCCTCGTCTCTACGCTACCCCCGCTCTCGGCCTTCCCCCACTCCGCTCCACGCCGCCTATCCCCACTCCGCGCATAGGACGACGACGAAATACGATTTCGCGCGATTGAGTGTAATACAAAATTCGGCGGACAAAGCGCATCGAATCGGGGGAAGATTTTCTCGATAATTCCGCGCCGGATTTACCAAAGCGTACAATCATAAATTCTATCTCTGTTCCGTTCCGTTTTATCCAATAAATATTGAGTTCGTTTTTGTAGAATTATTCGAGCGTAACAGTAAAAGATTATAAGGATTTATCGTCATTGATACGACCCACTCGCGATCAATTTATTGCCCCGCGAAATTTTGCCTGTCCTTTGCCTTTCGTAATTGGCCCCCATGAGACTCTTTCCGATTTTGTATATCGGACATAACCTACATATCTTGCTATACTTCCATGGTAATCGTTGAGCGATTTTATTCTTTCTTTTTCTCCTTTGGTGTGAGGATTTCATCGTAGTTACTTTCGAAATGCATTCACCTGTTCCGTGAGGTGAGTTGAGCGAATCGTTCAATCGGGGCTGCCATTTTCCTTTCAAAGCTTCTGAAAATAGTTACGCCTTATACTAGTTAAAACTTTAAAAAATTTGGAAAATATTCTGGCATACCTATGAAAGTTTTTGTCGCGATATTGTTCGTGGAATCAAAGAGTTGTGAATTTTGTAGATATAAATAAAAATTCGTTTCCAAGTACCAGCGTGAAGTTTCGTTTGATGGCCGACAGAGGGCCAGAGTCACTTCTGTTTTCGTTATTTCCAGCTTCGAGCATTTTCTATCGTATCACGAGTGGCAATCGGACAATAACAAATAAGGCAAAATAAATTTCGCAAACTGTTCGAGTTTTCTACAGATATTTTGACTAAAAGATTGTCGATATTTGAGTGGCTATAACTTTGTCAGAAAAATTCGTACAACAGTCCACTTAGGTTGATTTTAAAAGTCGAATTTCCCTTTTCATATCCACCAATTGAACTATTTCACTTTATGGACTTTGGAAAACGTTTATCGTGATTCGACTTGCAGTGGATTTGTAAGTAAAAAATTGTTGAAAATTCAAACACAATTTCTGTCCTCGTTTATCGTTCTTTTTGTAAAATAAAATGTACATTAATAAGGAATTTTATGCTGATTTACGAGATAATTATTTATACAAGAGTTATTTTGATTCATTCGCAGGTGTCGTGGATCAGGAAGCGAGATTTGCACATCCTCACCGTTGGAGTCTTAACTTACACGAGTGACGGCCGTTTCCAGTCGGTACACATAGAGGGCTCTGACGAATGGACCTTGAAGATTACCTCATCGCAGGTTCGGGACAGCGGAATATACGAGTGTCAGGTCTCAACCGAATCGAAGATCAGCCAGGCTTTTAACTTGAACGTCGTTGGTTAGTATGCTTCACAGACACCTGCGTAATCTGTCCCTGTGTCGATTTAATTCCCACGCCAACGAAGGGAAGAAATTTACGACGATATTACCACGACATAAAACCTTTCTCCAATATTTTATCCCCGCCGTTATTGTCTTGTTACAAAGGATTTTTATTAGAATCCGGTAATTGGATAAAACGTAAATTCATGAGTTAATGCTCCGTCCGATTGCTTTGTCATTTATTCCGTGAAAAGGAATTTGAAGAGGAAAATTATTCCTTCCGATGAAACGAGATACACGAGAACAGGAGTCTGTTATCAAACTAAAACATTGGCCTGTTATCGACAGTAAAATTCGTCGACTGGAACGAAATATCCAATATTTCTGGTAATTCGATGTTAGCATTAAATAGCCAACAAATGATTATAAATACTTGACAATTTAGTCGAAAAACGATTCACGAAACCAAAATCTAAGTAAACAAACAATTTGTATGAAAATTTACTAGATAGTAATTGACACGCTACACATTAGACTAGTTTGACAGATGTAGACTACGTATAGAGGTGTCGACTATTGCTCTACCACTATGACGAGAACAAGGAAAGAAATTAAAAATCCATTCACTCATCTCACTCATTTCTTATCATTCTCCAACGACAAGTTGACTCGTCAACGTCACTCAAAGAATTCAAGTCTGAAACCTCGAGGACTCCTGTCTTTGAGAGTTCTAGCTCGACAAAAGACTCTCCGAGGAGACACAGAGGATTGTTCTCGAGTTTCTAAAAGCATGCTGATTGGAAATTAGCCTTTCTCGACAAGGAATCACTCAGCATGCGCTTTTTTGGAACAGCAAAGCATCGCATCCGTGCTTCGGGGAGCGAGAACAAGTTCCGATCAGGCTTCCATCAGTGTCGTTCGAGAACAGTCAAACGAGCTCAGTTCTTCTCTGAGAAAGCAGTCTTTTGACAACTTTCACACAATACAAT